TGTATATTAAATATAAGAACCAACTATCGACCTAAGAATCCTTTAAAACATCTTTTCGATATTTTCTTAAGCTGTAAAGAAAACGACACCTCACCTTATTAATATAATCCATTAATCTTTAATGTGAAAATATCCGACAGAAATATTAATTACACAACATATACCAAAAATGTATGTATACATATATTTATATATATACCTTTTGTCTTATAAATATGAAGTATATATATATGTACAGTTTAATTGATATAAAAATATCTAAAGATATCTTGCAATCTTTATACACGTACAATAGGTTTCAAAACGGCGAAAATGGCACGTAGTTGGTAAAATAATTAATTAGTAGTTTTGACATAGGTTACGAGTATCAGCCTTTGAATCAGGGCTCAAAGAGCTCCAAGGGGTGTCGAGACACTTTTGTAGCTTCGATTCGGACCGAGTCTCATGATCAGCATCGCACATCTCATCAATCTCGTAGTGCTCGTATACTAATCTGTCCAGCCAATCGTCAAGGTCCCCGCCGATCCTATTTTGACTGTATGTAATCTGCTCATTCACTATCGCAGATTTCACTAACTTCGACCAGCTTTTATTCATTTCCTCTGTAATATGATAGACGGTACTCGGACCGTCTATTATCTCTTTCGCCTTATCCAAGTCTATCCTCTTGGTCTTCCAATATGACAATGGAATTACCAAGAATTTTAATTTCGCTATCAGCTGAGTGTCGGCAACTAATAATAGTCGCCAAGTACCAACGGCTAATTGTTCGTTTAGTTGCGGCTTAACATGTCCCACCTGAAAAAAAAACAAAAGACTTGTTCTTTTCAACTGAACTTCTTGCATCTTTTCTCTTTTTTCTCCAACTGAAGAGAAAAAGAAGAAAAATGAACCATGCAAAAAGTTTAGCTGAAAAGAACAGTTCTATTCATGAAACTACACAAGACCTAGTTATGAAATGAGGGGAAAAAAAATTAGAAAAATTCCAACTGTAAGAAAATGTTTGGTGTTGCATATGATAATTACCAAGGTCATTTCTTCGAGCAGCATGTGATTCACATCGGCGAGGCGGCCGTGCGGATCAATCCATAGGATTGATACATTCTGCGGTATTGTAACAGCCGCGTCAAACTCATAGGCCAAGACCGGAGTCGAGTACGGCCCTATACTACCCATCAAGTTTCTAAATGTCTGTTCCTTTTGATCGTAATCCGTGCTAACAGAGAGACTTCGTATCTTTCCCGACCATAATCTACTAGCGGAAAAATTGTGTCGAATAGAGATCAAAACCTCCACACGTCTTGCGCGATTATCAGGCAGTGCGGATACATCGGAGAATTCCTTTTTACTCTCCGCCAGAATTAGTATACCAGCGAAACGATTTTCGCGAAAGTATGCAGTATTTTCCAGCAAGCGGATATTTTTGTAATCCATGTTCAGTTTACGGTAAATCAATCTCGCCAAGGAATAAGAGAGCGTTAGCAATGCATCATCCGGTAGTGGACTCAGATCCGCATGATGATACAGACTTTGCCAATACATATCGTAACCCCTCGATTTAGTCGTTTTGTTCACTCGATCGGGATACAGCCATTCTTCCACGCGGTCTATAATTCTATAATCGATAACAGGTTCGAATTTACGGGCAAAGAATATATTGCGATCCGCCGTGTTTCGTAGCCGATTAAAATCCTCGAGCTTAAAATCATTCGGACTACATCCGCACCAATCCACCACGGCCTTGTACTGGCACTTGCAACCCAATTTCCTCTTCCAATTAGTCATGTGCAGATTATTGTCTATGTAAGTATTGCAGAATCGTGAGTTTCTTATGACCGTGTGAAAGAATGACTCAGCCGGCAGCAAGGTATATTTGAATAGTTTTAGGAGATTGGATACCAGCTGATCAGGATTTGAATTGGCGACATATTCGACAAAGTCTCGGCTCAGAGCAAACCAGTCGCTACCACCATCGATTTGAATACCTGTAAAATTAATAAAATGTTGTGTATAATGCGCGCACGTGCACACACATATACATACATACACACACACACACACACACACACACACACACACACACACACACACACACACATATGTGCAGGCAGGTTTATATCGATGCTATTTACTTTAAGAAATAATCTTTCGGTATATCAGGTATTATAAGTGCAATCCACTTAACGTTAATGTTGATCAATTAAATGCTCCAAAGCATTCAATTGACCAATTAGAAGAAATAATTTTATTAATGAGTCAATTAAAGAATACTTTAAAGCATTTGTAGTATTCTTTAAGTGAAACCTTTATTAACACTGGAATACTCTTTGCTTGAAAAATTCAAAACAAATAACGCTAAACAATTCTAAGGACAATATTTATAGTCGTTTTCTATCTTTAAAAAATTTCTTATTTATATATGTAAGCATGTAGTAATGTATATACCAATATAAAATAATAGCATACCGTTTTAAAGACCAGATAATAAATAGAAAAACATTAGGAATAAGCAATAAATGTAAATGAATTTACCACACAATGCTAAAAAAATACTTCAATAAAAAAAATATGTATAAGCTATCCATAAAAATGATATAAGAAATAAAAATATATATGATGTTGACATACCATCTGGTAATTTTCGATCACCGATTCGCCACATGCGTGCTTCACATTCGACAAAAGTCTTGTCTAAACCTTGTTTAGCTATAAAACGCTGAACTTCCCTTCCGTGCGATTTCGCAAAGTTCATACCCTTGTTCCAACTAAGAAATTCGACCAGCTGATTATTGCTTTTCAAAGGGAAATCGGATTCCGATAGATTTACGAGAAAATCCCAGTGTTGATGATAGGCGAGTATCTGTTGCGCCGACTTCAAGAATGTCGTCAAAAGACTCGCGCCACCCCAAATACTCGCGTGTCGCATGCCTTCCCCTCTTGCCACTTTGATATTGTTTAATTTACATGATTTTTCCAATTCCAACATTTCACGATATAAATAATCCTGCCTCTGAAAAAATACAATTTGATTAATACAATTGATCTATTTATCAATCTGTAATTACATTCACACGTATAATAAGTTTATGATAGAAACAATTTGGAAAACACTGTAGATTTAAAGAAAAAGTTTAAACAGAAATATGTAATGAATGGTGATAATTGTAATTAAGAAATTTGTTTTATAATGATGAAAACAATTAAATTGTTTTTATTTTTTATTCAAATTAGACTTAAAATAATTCTTCTTTTTACATTTTATTGAACTTACCGCGTCAACGTGGATATAAAATGAATGCGAGGGATGATATAAAATACTGATAAGTCGTTTGACTTGCCGACTCGCCCTACCGTTCACCGTCAGCAAATAAGCTATTCGCACAGGTTGCTCGCTTTCATTTTTTAAACTCGAATTTCTTGCCTCTTGAGGCTTAAATTCTGAAACAAAAACTGTTTTTAATAATACTATAGATGCCTACATGTATTTACTTGCACTCACATACTTTGAATTCCAGTCCAATATATATTAATAGTTAAATAACCACCACATGTCTGTTTTGGATTGCCAGAACACTTCATATTGCAGCTGGAATCTGGTAAACGTTTCGTCTGTAGCGGTTCTTCCATTCCACAGAAACATTCTACCCTAAAATCAGATGGTGTTTCAAAAAAGTTCTATAACATGTTTATATATACAAATGACAAAAAGATTTGGTCACAAAGTTTTTTGTTCAGTAACTCATTAGTAACATATACAAATAGAGTCCTTTTAGTATTCCTTTTAAAAGTCCTTTCAGTTTTTTTTTTTTTTTAATAAAATCTAACTAATATTTCAGAGTTAATTTTTTTAAATATACGTTACTATCCAAGTAGCAAGCTGACTTTATTTATCATTTTAACAAACATCAAAATGACATCTTTAACGTCAATAATGTCAGCTTGCTACACGCGAGTAATGATTTAATTGTGAAACACAAAATGTGATAAAATGCTTTGTGATCAAACTTTTTTGTCATTCTGTATATCAATTGTAGATTGACTAAGATACTAACGAGTACTCTGTACCAGCATATGGAAATCCCGATTGAAGACACATATAAGCGCAACGCTCGGGCGTATTGTTCCCTTTGAAGACGTGATAATAACCGGAAAGCGCTCTTAACGTTTTGTCGTCTTTGAAGCAGCCCAAGTTGATTGGCATGCCTGTAAAACCTGGAGAATGGGGACACAAAGATTGTACTCTTTCCGGGTACAACAAATCTTGTTGGCTAAGGCACGTCACATTGACAATGCGTTGCTTGCATGCTTGATTTTGAGCACGCGTTATGGCGCTCACCGCCTCCCGGACCGTAACTTCACACACAGGTGTAAAGTTCAATGACTTGCGATCTAGCTTTATTTTGGCGGTGCGGTTTCTTTGCTGGGATTGCAGCGGAATTTGCTTATTTGTGTTTGTCTGCTTGTCGGGTGGAAGTTTCAGTTGACGTAAACCTTTCGGCAGGCCCTCATCCTCTTCTGGTTGAGAAGAACCACCCTATAATTTGCCAGAGATACCAAGTAATAAATTTATAAATATTCTATGTACTATAATATTCAGTGTTATAAAAAGAGATATTTAGCACTCTTCTAGACAAGATATTCTATCTCTCTCTCTCTCATTATTTGGTCTGTTTTTTAGTTAAACTAATATATACTTTTTGTATTTAAATTGAAATAGATACATGTGTTTGATACTTGACAAAAATGAAAAGAAAAGTTTGTTCTAGAGCAGTCTAATGCTGCAGTAAGAAACAAACTTATATTGTTTTCCAGGAGATGAGATTAGATGGCTTACCTCTCCAGACGATAGCCGGCTGGACTTGCCCTTGTCATTGTCCAGACCGAAGAACGTGTGTAGGTAGACCTGGACACATAGCACAGTTATGCCAAAGGCAAAGATCAGCCGGTACTTGCGTAGGCAGCTCGACGATCGACCGCCCGGGTGGCTTCTGATGGTCGCCATTATTCTTCGGGGCTCGCTCGCGATTACCGTCGATTACGGCGTGCGACCGAGGAAGCCGGGTCCATCGGAGACCGAATGACTGTCTCGTTACGATGACGACCTCATCGGTGAGAATTATCTACTTCCGCCGTCTCCCTTAGCGGAGAATCAAACGTGCGTCTCCACTCATACGCTCCGCGTCGCACCCCATCGCACGTAACTACATGTAATTTGCATGAATACACCGAACGCGAGTACTACGACGTGACCATCGCGTCAGACAATGTCAGACAGCATCCCTTGAATGATTAAGCGCGATGGCGGAGGTTAAGTCGCGCGGAGGTTAGGTTAGGGTTAGGTTCATGCGTCACAGCGCGCGTGCCCTGGAGCTACGTCGATTCGATGGCGGTCCTTCATAGGTTATGGTCCGCGTCTTAAATAATGCAGTAAACAACTTCAGTCACGCTTTTTATCGGTCTATGCGGTCATCCACGAGGAACGCCCATGGCAGGCGAGCGCCGTGAGACAATCCTGCGTCTGTTCCAAGCTGAACCGGTGAACGCGGTGACGTAGGCTTGCGCACTCGACGAGAGGGAATACGATTTTTGGAATTTTAAATGCAACGCCAGAAAATGGCAAATGCAATGTTCACGCACAAGACCAAGGCGGAGGATACCATAGAGTGTTTCCTCTACCCCAAGTTCTGCTACGCGTCCGACCCGGACGCAGTGACGGAAGCGAGGCTGAGCGAGGAGATCGCCAAGTACAACGAGGAAATCGCCTCGTTCGTCGGCGATCATATCTGGCATAGCGACAGCTTAAATTTCCGTCCTAGAACCAAGCAGGCGATGCTGCTGAATCGAACCCTCGAGGGATCAGCGGTGGAGGAAGGTGAATATTTTCATTTCCACTTGTTGCAGTTATACTCCTTAAGATAATCAACTAGCCAATAAGAATAATCAATCATTTTTTACCAGATTACCATACCTTGCCTCACATTTATGCAAATCAGCGTTTTGATGAGGATATAGGGGACGAATGGTTGACGGTGTTCTTAATATTTAGGCTCACCAAAGTCTTCGACGGATTGATCGCTAGAGTGGTGGATTCGGATGGAGAGTTTCTTCTGATAGAAGGCGCCCATGTCCTGCCACTCTGGGCCAGTCCCGAAACGTGCCAGGATCGTGTGTTCATTCATAACGGTGATATTCATGTTATTAGAGAAAGAGGAACGTCGTTTCCCAATTTATTAAATAACATAAATGGCAAGCCGCATATCTCTAAGATGTCTGAGAAGGTGCAGCTTGTATTACAAAAGCGAATTGGCATTTATCCTGATGAGATTCAGAAGAGGAAGCACAAGGCCCGGGCGTTCCTTCCGGAGAAAGCGGCCTCTATACTTCGTCTAGAACCAAGACTCATAGCTCCAGCGATTAGAACTATCTGCCATTCGGATCCACTCGAACGCAAAGTACAATAGAATTAATTTGACTTTTTATGTATACAAGGTGGTCCTTAAGTGTTCTAAAAAATTTGTAAAGAGTGATTCCTCATATTTAATTAAGGATAAAAATGGATGAAAATTTAATTCAGGATATGACCGTATATGTTTGAGTTAAAGGATTCACTTCTTAAAATCTTTCAGAATACTTAAGGATCTCTTGTGTAATCGATTTTATATACATTGTATTTGTTATTACAATGTATTATAGGTTTGTCGTGCCATGAGATATTTCCCTCCCGAACAACGAACCATGGTCAATGTTAAAATGACCAAGTGTTTGTACGCGATGGCGACGCACTGTCGTTATACTGGTGATCCAAGAACAGGTTGGAACATACCACCTGCAACTTGCTCAAAATACAATGCTCATGTTCTCGGAGTTAAAATAGCATGCGGCTTAGAGATGTTAGTAGCTCGGGCCAATGAGGAACGTAGAAAACGTACCAAAGAACAGTCGGACGTTCCCGACGATGTTGAAAAGTTAAAGTTGAACGAATCAGCTTTCAACGCTTACCTAGCTCGTTTAGAGGCAAATGGTTATTTTAGAAATCTGTTGGAAGGTAGTCAGGAACGTGATAAGCTACTATCTACAGCGAAAGAGTATTTCTTGAAGCATGCTTCTTTATTTGATAATCTAACAAATTTGTACGAAAGCGATGCTCAAAAAGTCTTAGAAGCATGGGAGAACATACAGACGAATGACATTGAAATGCATGGTAATTTATTTATATATTTAAATGACTTAAAAAGTAGCATACAAATGAATTAGTAGTATATAAATATTTATTCTATTTTAAAAAGTAGTATGCAAATAATTTCCAGACTGTTAAATATTACACATTTAATTATAATTAAGTGTATTTTCTGTACGTAGCTCAAGATGAGAATACGCTGAGTCCTGCAGATACCGATAGTTGGCTAAATGTGGACCCAGCGCAGTTAGAAACATATTTAAACCAACACTGGGGAAGCAATGTTAAGGATAAAAAATTAGAAAAACAGGAATCTTTAAGTCTCCGAGAAAAAGTACAATCGTTTCTCAATCAAACCAGTGACATTGATGGCGTGCATTTCTTAGGGTATGATTTCTATCTGTCGAAGAAATCAACAATTTTAAGAAACCATAATTTATTATCATCATAATTTATTCGCAAAATATGAAAAAGTAGGTAATTGCTAATTTCATTTATAGAGAACAATCAATGGAGAATGACATGCAAGACGCGGAGGATGGCGCGCGAATAGATTTCGACGCAGACGTATTCGATAGTACATTAAGAGGCATCCTTGATTTAGTTGTTCCGGGAGGAGAGGACGAGTTTGAGGGTAGTTCAGAGGGATCGCTGGGTGGTGATGATGAGGATAAAGGTGGCGATATGGACAAGTATATGCGGCTGTTAGACTCGCAATTACAATCGCAGATGGTAAAAGACGAAAGTTTGGTAACGGATGATGATGATAATAATAGCACGGATCCCGTAGAGGCAAGTTTGCGAGAAAGTATCGAAGCCGAGGCCGGCGGCTCCGGTCCGGCCGGGAACATAATCGGAGGTCCTGTCCGAAGGCTCATGCACTTGCAATTGCAATCGCCTACGACGGTACCGCCCGACTTACAAAGTTAATGGCACTAAATATATAATAGATGATTAACATAGTCGATTCACGTTAACATTCGTAAACATTATTACAACCCTCGCTTCATTCTGCAAGATACATTAAGCATTTGCCATTTCAAACAAGGAGAAAAGACAATGGACTAAAATCTCGTTACTATCTAAATTATTACACATTTATTACTTAAAATATATACTTAATGTTATCGATCAAAGCACCTTTATCACGCAGTTAGTACCATTAATACATATTTCACAATTGTACTTTCATCACTCGCTATATCACTGTTTTTCATACAAATTATATAATTATATATACAGATATAACATATAAGATGTTATTATCGCGATCATAGAGTTAGATATTAAGAATCCTACTATTTGTATATGTAGCATTTTGTTTCCACTTTTGTAACTAATTTTACTAAGCATCAAAGTCTTACGTGTAAAGAGCTTTGTACATTTCAATTAGAATAATGAGAGACACGGACGTTTGTTGTATACAGATTTGTATATTTCATTAAGACTTGTTAAAAGAACTGTTGCGTTATGATGACATGTATACGCGTTTGTGCTAGTGTATACATTGATTTTCATAGAGTTCCGTATAGCCTATTATTTATATTAAAATTTAAGGAACCATCTTTCGGCGCTGTTACGTAATCGATTATTTGAATGCCTGTTTGAACCATTTTGGTGTCTTGTTTTGATTCTGAGTTGATGATGACGATGATTTGCTGCTACCGCTCGGTCCCGGAGTGACATGATTGCTCTCGACAACTGTGCCTCTATCACTTTCAGTCGTTGGATCTTGTTCTTTCCGCATTGTGGCGATTCTATAGATAAGTATGCAAAATTTAATGACAATCTGTATTAAATGATGCCATTAATACACCTTACCTAGATTTCACAGCTTCAATACCAGCGGCTCTAGGATCTGTTAGTTGTGCTTTTACATTCGAGTTTAGCGATGATGGTCCAGAATAATAAACGATAGCAGAAGGAACAAGATTTTCGTCTATTAGTCGTGCGTCGGGGTTTAAAATATGCCTTGGTGGGCTAGTATCTGAAAAGAAAAGAATATATAATAAAATTTTATCTATAATAAAATTATTACATGTTTGTCTTTTGCATAAAATAAATGTGATAATTGCATGTCATTACTCACAAATAGTGAATTCGCAATCCGAATTCTCCAAATAGCTTTTGATGAAGTCCTTGATAACTTGGATAGTCTCCAGCGGTTCAAACAAACCCTGAAGAACGAATTGGTCAGGAAATTGTATGCGAATTACGGTGCGACGATACTTGACCAATTGATCCAGAATGTGCTTATTTCGATCCAGCTGACGCTGCGCCTCCGTCAAAAGCGGAGCGTCCTCGAGTTGCTCTCTGCGACGCTTAGCATCTCGTAAAAGTGTCTTTGCGAAATGCTTCAGTTCCAGCTTGATTGAACACTAAAGCATTTCTCTTTCCTAACTGTAATACAAAAATCCTTGATAAGTAAACCTATCACTTGAACGCAATTGCACGTATGCACAATTACACCTTACAAACTTAATTTCATACGCGTTTTCCTGGACTTCTACGCATGTTTCTGCAGTATGACGATTTGTCCCAGCGTCGTGATCTTCGTGGCTGGATGCAATGGGATGACTTTCTCCTATCTCAAATGTATCTTTCTCTTGTTCTTTATTACTAAGCGCATTTACTATCTCATCTTTTGTGTCTATTTTCACTTCAGCTCTCGATTCTTCCTGATTTTCTATTTTTGATGTGCTTTCTGTTGGTAAATTAATTGTCTTATTTATTATCTTACTACAATGTAGTGAGGATGATGGCTTTCTTTGGTAATCTTTATCACTCGATGAATCATTCGCGACTGACTTTGGAAGCAAAGGCGTAGATACGTGTGCCTGAGTTTTTAATTGTTCATGATCACGATATATCAATCTCAATATTGCTTTTCCACTATTGAGTCCCAGCGATTTTAATGTTGTTTTCTCTAATGCTTCTTTGCCACACACCTGGAAAGATTTGAGTCATTTACTTTCAGCCTCTCTCATTCACTAGCTTGCGTTAAATATGTAGTTACGCAATATCAATTTCTACGTTATACCGTATCGCTTCCTTTCTTCAAAAGTGACATAATTAAAAATATATGATTTTGAGTTATTAACCATGAATGAATTAAGAGTAAACGAGCGTTATCCTATCAATTATTAAAAGTGAAGTTCATTTTTTATGAACTTCATAAAAAATCGTCAAAATCATCACAATTCAAATTCTTTAAGAGTAATAAAACGAAAATAACAAAAATGACATTTTGTCGTGTTAAGAATACATTCTTTTGTCGATATTCTTTGATTATTACAATATTAATAATTTTATATTAAGTTAAAAAATAGTTTTCTCCTTTCTTGAGGAAATTAATGGTGAATTTGGTCACTCGTATAGGGTTAGTATGCATTAAAGAGGCTGCTTTGTATAAAGTATCTAAGTTCAATGACAACATAATCAATTTTGACAATGATATATACACATATATTCTGTTAAATAACATGACAATATTATTGAGTACTTAATTGTTTAAAATAGTTATATGCTTTTACCTTAAGCTTGCCTAATTTCATGCAACTATTATATAAGCAATAATCTAGGGACTATCTAAGCTTTTCATTAAGAGACACATGGAGACACAGATAGCACAATGTAAGGGTCTGACAAGAATTGTTGTAACACTTACAATTAGATTTGGAGACGTAAACAACGCACAAGCTTTGGCATATGTGTGACTTATTGTTGTATCTCTTTCTCTTGGAGACACTTAAGTCTAAGTAAGTGTTAAACAATTCTTGTACTCAGATTCTAACACAATGAATTATTTCATCTTTGTTTAATATTAGCAGACAACAAGGATGTAATAATTTACTAAGTTACATTGTGTTTGTTGTTGGAAAGCACTTAGTGTGATGCAAATAATTAAATTCGCTATTAATTTTTTAAACTGTGTCATTTTTTAAGTAAGAGAATGTATTATACAGGATGTTTCTAAATAAGTGTGAAAAATTTTAAGAGATGATTTTTTTTATCGAAAATTAAGGGAGATTTTTCATATAAACATATATTTTTATATCCCTTTCTGAGGAATTCTATTCTTTCAAAGAGGGAGACAAAAAATTAAGCTTTATTTTTACCATTAGTAAAAAGAATACTTATTAGTATTAAAAAAAAAATAAAAATAACTTTTTACCTCCTTTGAAGGAGTGTAATTCTTCATAGAAATTAGATATAGGAGTACATGTTTATATGAAAAATCCTTCTTTTAAAATTTTTTGCATTTAGAAATACGCTATTTACATACTTCACGATGCATGTAAATCAACACAGCTCTCTCAAGATCAGAATCAGGATACATTTCCATCAACGCTTGAGCCAACGTTGTATCTGGCGAAAATTCGCGCAATATTCTCTGTCCATCCTCCGGCTGAATGCCAATTGTGACGTTCGACGTGGTACGAGTTTTTGTACAGGCCACCATCTCCAACTGAGCGTTATTCGGCAAACCGGTGAAGCGGAATATCGTATTAGGATCTAGTATCTGACGATTGTGTCTGTAACAACAACGAGAGTTGTAATGTATGGTTTATAGAAATTATATCATTGTGGAAACCGAAGTCTCAAGTGTCATGCTCACTTAATATCATAGTCGTCGACGTTGTAGCCTTGCTTCTGACATACCTCTTCCAGAACCTGCAAAAAACCTTTATCTGAAAATTGTATCGAGAATGTCCTTCTTGTTTTGATGAAACCTATTCGAACGCAAGTGTCGCGTAAATCCTCGTCGGACTCACCTGCAGGATCGTCGTATTAATCGTTACTTTTACATTCTGCCGGCGACCGTTTGGCGCGAGAACGATAACCGTCTTGTTTGCCGCCATGGTGACCAGCGAAACTTCAAAGAGATGCGCTAAACGGCTCAACTATCGTGAAATCAACAGCTGATTCGAAGCAACTCGCTCGCGCAGACATTCCACGTGTCTCTTGATGTCATCCCCTCCTAAGGTCGCGTAAAGCCTCGTGTTCACCAACTGATCTGTTGTCAACAAAAAAAGAAATAAAAGGAATTCGATCGTATTTTCATTGAAAAGAATGTACAACAATATTGTAATGTACTACAATGATGTACTACAATGATGTATTACAATATTTTTATCGTAAAAACAATTGTACTTACACGCGCTATTATTTTTTGGGCTCGTTTCACGAGTTTGAAACAGCTGTCACGAGTATCACGTCGTCACAGTTTGTGTATTACGCGCCGTTGATAGGCTATTATTGACGCTTGCGCGCGCGATTTAGATAATAATCGCGGTGTTCGTACCAGTTCGTACGTTGGCAAGGGTCCAGGGGAGTCGTAGAGTTTGTGTGGTCGACCTGCACGTGCATCGTAGGCCGTTCACGCGGGGGTGGAGGAAGGCGCGAGAAACAACGAACGTGTGTCAAGCTCGTCCGCCGTGCAGCGGGAAGCGAGAATCGCGTGAACCGACAATAAAAGCGACGGAGAGGAGAGGCAGGGATACCCGCGGCGTGTCGCCGTGTGTTTACGTGCGACGAGCGACTGCCGTCGCTGTCGCCGTCATCTGACGTCTTGCCACCGTTCGACCACACAACGACGATACAAATGATGACCTGCGAGGTGAGACCTGGCATGTCACGGCGCAATGGTCGTGTCTTTTAACCGGTACCTGCCGGTGATCCTGCCGGAGATCGACGACAGCGAGCCCGACGGCGCCGTTGCTGCGAGCGACGTCGGGCTGTCCGACGTCAAGCAGCGCGCTTCGTACACCACGAATGAGCCTGTTACGAGGAACTGTTCGACCAGTACCAGCACTATCGGCGGCGGTGGCCCGACGACGACGGCCTCCGTGACAACGCCAGCAGTTACGGTGACGACGTCGGCGGTCACAGTACCGCTGTGCGTTCTGGGCGAGGTACAGTTGCGCTTCCTCTGCCCCGACGATCTGGAGGAAGTGCGATCGCTCTGCCAAGATTGGTTCCCTATAGGTGAGCGTCTGTCCTGGAAGCAGCATGATTCTTGTTTGCCTACAAAAGAAGAACGAGATGCAAGATTAAGATATTTTTGTAATATAATTTTAATTCTTTAACACTTTCTCTCTTTTTGCTTTTTTGAATCTACTTTTGATTATAATAAAAATATATATAACTTGAAAGAGATGAGAGAAAAGAAATATATTGGCATCTCAGAAAAAAGAGAGCTTGACACACGGAAATAATATAAAAAGTATTGCCTATACAAATAGTTTCAAGTTTTAAAACAAAAATTTGTAAGAGAATCTTCAGGTTAATGCCTGTTTCGACTAACATAGACTAACTTTAATCTTGACACAGTGTAATATAGTAATCAACCGTTACATTCTTGTTTTTTTTTTACCAATGTTAAACAAAATGAAATGATCACTGTTACACTGTGTCTCTTACTGAAAAGCATCAAATATTTCACAAATTGTACAATTAATTTATTTAATCTAAATTATAGTTTATTTGTAGTCTATATGATAATTCTAAAAAAATTGCTATAAATAAACAATGTAATAAAAAATGTTTCAACTATTAGATAATAAAATAGAACTAAACGATTAATTTCTACCTGCACAGATTATCCTTATTCATGGTATGAAGACATCACAAGCTCGTCGAGGTTTTATGCGCTTGCAGCAGTGTACGGTGGAGTAATAATAGGGCTGATTGTCGCAGAGATAAAGCCTTATGCCAGATTGAACAAGGAGGATCGTGGCATCTTGTGCTCCAGCCTAGGAAAAAATTGTTTAGTGGGTTATATACTTAGCTTAGGAGTACGTCGCGCGTATAGAAGAAATGGCATAGCGTCGTTGCTACTGGAACAACTGCTCGCTCACGTTACCGCTCCCGAACGTTCCTCCGTAAAGGCAGTCTTCCTACACGTGCTCTCCAGCAACGCTCCCGCTATATTGTTTTATCAGAGGTGTCACTTTCGGCTGCACAGTTTCCTTCCGTATTACTACTCGATCCGGGGAAAATGTAAGGACGGTTTTACATATGTCCTTTACGTCAACGGCGGACACGCACCCTGGGGTATTTGGGACTGGGTTCGTCACCTGGCTGGTGCAATGACCAGTCTCGTACCGTGCAGAGTACCACGATGGATTTGGCAACGTCTCTTATGGGCAACCACCATTCTTTCGTACCACAGATGATACATTTTGTGATTTATTATGTTCCATTATATATTTATTTTTCTCTTTTGGATTATAGAGATGTTATACGTATGTAAAGTGCCATAAGTTGATTGACTGGTTCAAGTAGTTGGCCATATTGCGTAGTCCTGTGCTAATGCAAAGTTAGAAATGGACATTGATCAACGATCGATTTATATAACATGAACAAATATTCAAATTCGTCTAAAGTTTGGGCAGCAAGGCTTCAGAGTATCTTAGCACGGCTTTTGTTACAAAGGATTGCTAGTTATTAAGTACATATCGTTATTACAATACTGTTGTAATAGTTCGAGATGTAACTGCCAAAAATAATTAAGTTAAATAATTTGCACACGTTAAGAGACTTAATATATCTTCCATCATTTTTAAAAATTATAATATTCTAAAGCTCATTGTTAATTTTAATGAAGGCACAAATCTTGACATAATTAAGTATATTCGTCTATCTTTCGTTTGAAAATTGTGTACCCTAATTTTTTTTTTTTTTTTTTTTTTACGAGGGTAGGGGGAAATCTTCAAAAGACCCCCTAGGGCCCGTACCCTAAGGGAGTGCCGGACTCGATGACATTTGCATCGCGATACTGCAAATGTCTCGCCTACCGGCTAAAACCCCCTCCCTTTTTTTTCCTTAAAAGATCCACTAGATGAGCATCTACTGAATATCACTCTCATGTTACTTCCTGGGGGATGCTCAGCTTCTATAATTTTATCTATTTGAAATATATATCGTAAATTTCTAGGTTTTTTATCTTCAAATTTGTAGAGAAATTTGGAAATCGAAAATCGTAGAGCAAATTATGATCTTTTAAGCAAAAAATGATTTAAAAGACTGCATAATTACAATTCATACTTTGTATACCTGTGCTGCCACATCGACTGTATAATATATGTATAAACTGTACATATTTTGTATATTAAATAAATACTTAATATATTAACATGGAACAATGAAAGTAAAATGAATTAATAATCCATCCTGATTATTAGAGTATTTTGAAGTTTAGTGGAAAGCAACTTAACTAACTTATACTAGAAGTACCAAACAGTTATTTTTGATTCTGTTTATATTTTTTAGATTCATGCCATATTTTTTTTGTAAAAGATAAAATTTTTTTTTTTTTTTGAGAAATTTTTTTTATTTCAATAATATCTTTTATATTGATGAAACATTTGTTTTTATGAATTTTTTTTCATATTTATTCACTTGGTTTTTTTTTTTAAGTAATAAGAAATGTTGGTACTTGGATAATTTTACACATATGGTTATATATTTACATAATATATAAATATCTTACATATTTACATTTGACATTTTTGTATTCATTTGTCATGCTTATCTTTAAAGGTGACCCTACACAGTCAATAATACTGACAGTATGTATCAATATTTTTAGTTTTTTTAAAACCTTATACGATCAGTATTATTGACAATATATTTCATTTCAGTTTTACGTACATTATCTATTGCTCTGTGACATGTGGATCCTAATAAAGCGATATTGATGCTGGAGAATCAGTATTTTATGTCAATCCATCAATATTATAACCACACACAATCAGTAATATTGTCATTTTTGTCAATATTGACAGTATTATTGATGTGTAGGGTCAACTTTAATTAGTATTCGCTCCGAAATTTTTTTAACTGTCCTTCGCGTGGATCCAGTGTACCCGACAAAACTTTAAATTATTGTATCTTTGTTCAATTGTTTTTAAAATATAAGGAGAAAGATTATGTAACTTTTATGTAAAGTTGTGAAAAATATTTATTATAAACAATGTTTCACAACGTTCGGTATGTAATTGAAAAAACTGCCTGGGTCCACTAAATCCGCGAATTAAGAATAATATTTGTACTGAAAGTGATTATTCCACGTGTAAAAAATAAAATTTTTATTGAAAATAGTACGCGAACGTGAAAACAAATATAATTAAAAATATAACGTATGTTTCTTTAAATACAAATACATACGTTTGCATACATAGAATGAAACTGATCAGTTTTACTCATTACATTATTCATGATCATATTAATGTATTTTGCAATTTACATCGATTAAACCTAAGTGAGTTTCAAATGTTAAGAAAAAATAAAACCTGATATTGATAAAAGATATATTTAATACGCTATATCGAACAAGACTAGAATAAGATCTTATACTAAAATCGTAAAATATGAGAAGTATTAAACGATTCCATATGTTCACCCATTTGCAAATATGTAGAAAAAAATTGTGCATATAAGAAAAGAGCAAATGGGTATAAAATGCAAAGATTGAACTATCGTGGTATACGAATTGTATATTCTAAATAGAAGGTAAAATACTTCTCAATGTACACGCGTATTATATATTTCTCCATCTCCACTATATATTATACAGTCGATATGACAATCAAACTTTTTTTACAATTAAAGTATGCATCGTAGACTTAAACATATTAAACTATACTCATTCCACAAAAAAAAAACTAAAATCAAATTCTGCTTTTAAAAAAGCATTTCAGAAAAACTTATTCATTGATCTTTAGAGAACGGGGGATTTTATTTTCAAAATCTATTTGGCATTTTCTTGAGTAATAGCGAATTTTTCGGTTGGACACATCCAATGCGCACTGATGCATTGACATCTATTTAATGTAAATATAAAAACGTTAAATCGCGAAACTCTCAATACACTTTATTGAGTTGTTTAAGAAAATATATATCTTATAAAGATATATTTGCATTTCATTATTACATTCAAATTAAATCAGTGTGCAACGGCGTACACTGACTTTAAGATGTACCAATGCACACTAGTGTGCCTAATCGAATTCGCTATAAGATTTATAAATTCATTATTTCTTTTTTTATCTTAAAAAATAAAACGTTTTAGCGCTATTATGATAGCTTTTCCGTCCTATAAGTTAACATACTGGCTACGTTTGCACGCGGCCTGACCTACAGGTCAGGTCATCTCTCAAGTGTTTACAACAAGGGACCTAAACAATTTAGATCGAATTTGGGATATAGACCGATATGGCCTAAATTCACAGTGTAAACGTAACTATTAATTTAATTACGATTTGAAGGCATTTGTTCGTTTCATTCTATGTATACATATATTTTTTTCGACGCATATATGTCATGTAAAATCTCTATAGACGTCGTTAATAAACTTTTCCTAATATTTCGTTCTTAAAATCGATTTGTATATACAAACTATATACATGCAAATGTGATTTTACAATATGTACAGTAGTTACATACGCGTTTATATTACAAGTTAAGTACTTCTGGGACATAATGTTTGATTTATCATTTGAACTAAAGTATTCATATTTAATGTATCGTTGGTATCTTGCGGCCAACTCCAAATAACACGTTCCTTGAATGCTTGGACGAAACTTGCCTCAGCAGCAGGTGGTCTATTGTTCAATCTATTTCGAATTTCAAATTCTGATTGTTTGGTTAATATATTATAAACGTAAAATTCACCAGCCTTTTGGCTAAGATGACGTGCCCATGGTTTAACAATGCTTCGTACGAATATCACGCTGTTAAATGCCGAATAAACGGGTTTTTGCATGGGTTCCTTCGGATTCATTTCATTATCTTCCGTTGTATTAACTATGCTCATGTTGCGTTCCAGTGGATTCTTCGCGAGTTCGAAAGCGGTGGGCAACTTTACGCTCTGATCTGTTATCATTCGTAATCTTCTATGTATATCTGATGACAGCAGACGCAAAATTTCTTCGTGAGATTAGATCTGAAATATCAAATATGACACATCAAAATATTAGTTGTAAGTAATACAATAATAAGTTATATTAATTAAATGTCTTTTCGTTGAACTTGTATTCATGTATTTAAATTTAAATCAATGGTATTTATATATTTTGAACACATATTTACATTTGAACACATATTTGCTTTAACATTACATTAAAATTAATATGTTAATTTTAATTTGATCTGTGTTCAATTAATTTGCATATTTTTAATTTATGCATAAGAATATTCGAATAATTATTACAAATATCAGCATTTTACATTATGTTATTAACATTTTAGAATTTTGTTGACAAAACAAAAGAAAAACTTACCGATGGGATAAATACAGCTTGCTTACATCCTCTCCACCAAGCATATATGCATCTATAATATGTAATGCTTTTGTCTTTGCGAAATACGTTCCCGTCCATTTTCTTTCGTTTACTATTTCAGCATATACAAGAGTATTGGACGGTAGCTCGAGTGTTCCTGTATTGCATCTTACAATCTCCCATCTGCCTCCTATATACCGGTACACCTGTTTTCTTCCTAGACCCAAGTAAAACGTCGCCAACGTTTCTGTCTCGAAATACGGGCCTGTACCACACGGCATACAATACCAATCAAATGGCTGATTTAATATCGTATTCCGTACGTTGTCGTTCTTTAATTGTGTCGCTTGACATTTGAGCAACTCGATACAGTCACCCAATATTTCCTGCGCCTTGTCTTGTGGCTTTGATACTTGAGGCCTTACTCTAGTTCTGTCTGGCAAATTCCAATACTTGAGGCATTCTTTCCGCATCTCGGCTTGTTTAGGTTCAATCAATGTTGGATCTTCACAAAATGCAGCAATTTTTAACAGATTTACTATCTGTTTTTTCCCTAAAGTATCGTTGGAATTTCTCACGTATCTTAAAAATTCCTTGTCTTCTTCTAATACATCAAGAGGTACTATTTCAATCACATCGTTGATATCATCTCTCCTCGAAAGCAAGCAATTAATTTGAGACAGGTAATCCATCACCGCTTGCGTATCCTTTTTCTTCCTTTTACATATTAAGTAGCGTTCTGAATTAGCTGGTCTGGAAGTATTCGGCTTGAAAATCGAAATACTTTCAAAGCAATGGTACATTAGATAAACAAGCCCAACGCTAAATGGTGTAAATAAATCGAACAGTTTTGTAACAAAATGTCCACCTGGTCTCACTATCATCAACGCCACTAAGCATTGACATAGATATAATTGCTTCGATAAAATCTCCTGTATATTTTCTTGACCTTCCACTGAAAATCCTCCATCTGACATCATGAAGTGTACACCTTTACCATCAGTATGTCCCATCACCATCGATCTAAACTCTCTTTGATTTTGCGCGTCAAATACATTTCCGTTGTTTTTGGTGCCATAAAACGGATGGAAAGTTTCACATGGTCCAGCGAAGAAATCATCCAATGAAAAATCATTTTCATTCTTCAAAGTGAATCCAAATCCTTTGGCGTGCCACTTCTTTCTTGACAAAATATATTCACTAAAACCACCTGGACCAGCACACACATCTGCGAAGTACAGCAATTCATTGGGATCGATATTCTTTGGATTAGTGAACATAAAACCACACGCTGTGTCTATATTCGCCATCTTGACTGCTGCACGATTCAAGAAGTTTACACATCGAATTGTTTCGTATGGATTTGAACGCGTTCTTGCCTTACGCATTTCTGCTTTGTCCAATTTGTCAAATATAGTTTTAGAATCAATGACCTGCCTTAGAATATTTGGATTGCAAAACATGGTCTCGTCGTCTATAGTGTCTTTCTTCGGTCCATACTTTATCCAACGCAACGAATTTATATCTTCAATAAAAAATGTAGAATGTGTGTTTCGCAACCATTCCATATCTTCTACAACTTTTATTTCTTCTTCTGCAGCATTCCACTTCAGGCTTGCTTCCTTGAGACCCGGCACGTAATGTCCAATTCCTCTTCGTCCACGTTGTTTAACTGCTTCTATTGGTTCAACGCGACCTTGATCATCTTTTCCAAGGCCTTTACCTGGCTTGTATCCCATCTTTTTCATCATATGCTGAATTTTCGAGGGTACTTTACTTTCGTTGGTATAAACTTCTGCATTATCCACTACTTTATTTTCTTCAATATACTTCTCTCCTGAAGATGTAGTAGTATCAAACGCTTCTCCATTATTCAATTTCTTCCTTTTATTCTGGTGTTCGAACATACTATCCTTATGACTGGTATCTATTTTATCATATCTACTATACTGCTCACTATCATAGATAGAAATTTTTTGCTCATGCTGTTCTCCATTATATGAAATCAGCGAATTATCAAAGTTATTATAGCGATACATTGTATTTTGTATCACATACTGGGAATCATTATTGACGTCACTAACAACATCCTGCTGAGAGTAATTGTCAAAAGACTCTACCATTCTAGGCGTAACATCCTCATTACTAGTAATACTATCGTCAGTACCTAACAAAAGACAACGTTCAATTTTTTATAATCTATGTTTAGAATTTTAAAAATATAGATCAAATATATGGAAAATAAAAAGAGAATACATACTACTATCCATGGTGTCTGTTAATTTCAGTCACTTCTTAACACTTTTAGAGGTTTTCTAATCAATTCTCTTAACCTATAAAGTAAAATGCGTGTGTTTTATTAGAAATTTAAAAATTACTTGGAGGAAATTAGTATGAAAATAACTTTTTATAATTTTAGGTTTTAACACAAATTATAGATTATAAAGTGAAAGCTTTATGACATATAAACGATAAAGTTTAAAAATTTGTAGATTTTACGACGGCCTAAAGCAATTTTAATAAACGTACATCCTAACTGTATACTTACTAAAATATAAACGATAGTAAAATCTATCACGATATACTATTTAACTACAACTTATTCATGTTTATAAAATCTTTTTCTTTTATAATATCTTTTATTTATAAACGTTCATTTGTTATAAGTCATAATACTACGCACAGTACAATGGCCCGAAGCTGCCTGAAGCAGCCTAAAAACCCCAAAGTTTCGGAGTACAGCCTGTGTATATAGGATTGTATAGGATTGCATTCAGGAAATTCTGGGAACTTTACACGGATGTACTTAAAGGTGCCTTTATATGAAATTGTCAAGTTTTATAAATATTTACGTTAAATGTCGGCACATGCACAATGATATGTTAAATAATTTAATTGAAATGCATTGGATCTAATGTACATACACTGCTGATAGAGGAATCTTGTAATTTATGTTATATAATATATAAACAAATATAAATTTTCAGTATTATATGTTAAGACAGTATATAAATGAACATAATCTTTCTTAATTTACTATTTTGCATCAAGTATCTGCATTTTATTGCACAGATTATTGCATTTTAAGATTCAATATGTTTTTTACTCAAGTAGGTACCACCTACTTGACGCTTGCATGTAATGGCACCTTAAAGGTACTTTTTCATGCTCACGCTTGACGTTCATTTTCAGCATCAAAATAAATTATACCCTGACAGTAGCATACATAAGATGCGTTCGAGGAACGCATTTAGCGCTATTTGTATCATTGTATCCTTATTTTTTAAAAATGCTAACTTCTCAGCGAAATTCGAGATCAAATAGTTCTGAGCGGCTCAACAGCTCTATTTTGTGAACATCTAGAGTTCTTGATACATAAAAAACAATTTTGACAAACAAAAAAATTTATAAAAAAAAATAAAGAATTTTTTATCACTTCTTAAATTTCCTGATACTTCGTCTTGACGAAAGGGAACTCTAATCAGAACTATGGAATTTCAATTTCAGGGTAACTAACTCCACCGACGTGTACACCAAATATTTCCAGACTAAACACAATTAAACACTGTAGTAATTTTGCGAATTAAATTAAATTCTAATAATTTCGATGCTCAATCAGGCATTATATTTCAAAGATGTTAATATGCTGAAAAAACTGCAATTAAATTTATTGCGAAAAATATTACCTCGGGGAGTCGAATCCAGATCTCTTGTATTCTATACAAGCGTCCTGAGCCATTAGATCACCGAGGCACTGCCTCGAATACAAGATAATATTTTTCGCAATAAATTTAATTACAGTTTTTTCAGCATATTAACATCTTTGAAATATGATGCCTGATTGAGCATCGAAATTATCAGAATTTAATTTAATTCGCGAAATTACTACAGTGTTTAATTGTGTTTAGTCAAAATACTATAAAAAATTCCCTCACTCCACAAATAGTTACAATATATAATATTAATCTTTACCACAGTCTCACACAACAGTCGAAATATCTAAATATCACCAACGTTTGAAATCACTTAGCATAAATTTCATAAATTAAATTGCTATAGGATGATGATGCTCATTATATACAGGTACATATAATAACAAATCTCAAAATTTGTGATTATAATATGAGATTTATTATTATATGTATCTGTATCATATATGTATAATGAACATCATCATCCTATAGCAATTTAATTTATGAAATTTATGCTAAGTGATTTCAAACGTTGGTGATATTTAGATATTTCGACTGTTGTGTGAGACTGTGGTAAAGATTAATATTATATATTGTAACTATTTGTGGAGTGAGGGAATTTTTATATGACAGAATAGGAGTCTTGAAAGTAAAAATTATAATAATGTGAGAATATGATTCATTAAAAATTATTAAATATCTGCTTAAATTTAAGTACACTTCTACGGTTGTATTCTCACATAATTGCAGATATTTAATAATCTTTAATGAATCATATTCTCACATTATTATAATTTTTACTTTCAAGACTCCTATTTTGTCATCTCATATATAAAACGTAATATTAATAAGAATAATTCGTATATAGAAATTGGCTTGTGTATAATATAACATTGATCATGATAATGAAACAAGAACAAGAACGACAAGAATTATCGATAGAATGGTTTTAAGACGTTTATAATATTGATGACATATGAGATTATTAAGTACATATAGGTAAGATTTACGAAGGTAAAGAATTACGAAGACAAATTGAATAGCGAAGACAAATTATTGAATTACGGCGAATAACATAAGTAATTAATTATACTGAAGATGACCAGTAGTGGAATTCTGTAATTCGTTATGCAGTCGTTATGTGCTCATAACGACAGCCGCGCAGATATTTTATATGGTAAAAAAGCTGCGCAACTGTCGTTATGAACTCGTAACAGACTGCATAACGAATTACAGAATTCCACTACAGAGAGAGGAAAAATGATCGAAAATGTTATACTTTTTTAAAAAATAAAGAATAATTAGAGGCAATATAACATTCAGCACTAGGCTTATATGCTCTTTGATACTCTTACTGTTTATTGTAAATGTTGTAGTAAAACTGTCTGAGTATAACCAAAATTTACACTGAACAAAGAAAATGTATGAAAAGAATGTATACGTCATCGCGTCATGACGCTATATCTTTTCATCATGGCGGTTATTATAGGGCGTAACACTCTTCAGCGTCTCATAAAATGGCGGTTTTATCGAGAATGGATTGAAATAGATTCAAGAAATCCTTTTCAATCCGGAATGCATCTTTATTCATTTATAGGAATTGCATGAAGCACATTTCTGTACCTTTCAATCCAAAAATAATATCAACTTTTTCTGTGCATTGTGTGAATACTGCAAAATTTTGAATAGGAGAAATGCAGTTTTTCAATTCAATTGCATCCAATTGAATCTAATGAATTCAATCGAATCCAATCGAATTTGAATTGAATTTTTAAGACGCGCATTCGGACAGATAAAATTTGAATCTATTTTAATCCGGTCTCGTTTACCATTAGTTTTTTGCAGTTTCTGTGTTCTTTCGGCCGAGCGATCTTTTACAATTTTATGTTTCAAAAAATTCACTCACCCACTCAAAGGTTAATCTGTGAACTAAAACGAGAGCAACGACAGTAACTCCTCTAATTAATCGTCCGAACAAAGCTGTTTCGTCCGAAATGAAGAGAATCGCAAATATTCAAGATGCAAGATGCAATCAAGACACACAGTTCACCGCTTGAACGCTCAAGGGCGACTAACCAAAATGGCTCTTGCACCCTAGACGCGGGAAAGTTTACCGTGTTGCAAAATGCGACGTTACCAATGAACATGTTAGAGCTGTAAGCTTATTTGCTACCGTATCATATTTTGCCGCGCGGCAAGCGTTTCCGCGTCCAGTGTGCAGGAGTCATAAGGTTCCCTCCGGTAGGGTGCGTTCTTTTAGGCATCGGATACAGCAGTTCTTGTAGTAATTCGTTCTTTTAGCACAACTGCACAATCGATTGCAGCGCAGATTTTCGTTCTTTTGGTAATGGATACGCAGTAGATACGCAGACGAATAGAATTAGCTGCGCAGCCGGCTACGTATCTGCGTAATCGTTTAAAAAACACGTAATCGGCAGCTCCGATGCGCAGCGACTGCCAAATGCGATGCCTAAAAGAACGCACCCGTAATGTCGAGGACGAATACCATAGACTAGGGATGCACGATACCGGATCGATATTGTCAGTATCGATATTTTTGCATCCGATACACGATATTTTGGATCGAGTGACTTTGAATCAGACTACGCGTTGAAGATTGAGATTGAAGATTGAAAAGATTTGACCAATCGAAGCGAAAGGGGCTAAAATTTTTTTGTCCTTATTGGTCAAATTTCAATCTTAGAATCTTCAATCTCAATCTTTAATGCGTAGTCTGATTCCGGTTTTACACTCCGCCCAAATACTCATACGTCCATGGTCATGGCTCCTGCACACAGAACGCGGCAACGCTCGTCGCGCGGCGGAAGTTGTCGCACCACAGTATATACAGTAGCGCAACTCTC